GGTGATGAACTGTGGAGACACACTCAAGAAGTGTGAAGGAAGGCTGTATAAAGGCAGGACCTTAGCTAGCTACCATTAGCCAGTAACCCATATTATTCCAAATCTCCAGTAGATAGCGTGACTTAAGGATGGGCAATATGGCAAAAATACAACTCGAAGGCTTTATATTAGCTCATCTAACACTGCTGTCAGAACTAAACACGTCCTCTACAGCCCCCATCTGCCAAAATATAATACATAAAATGCAATCGCTGCAAAAGTTATGCCACATTTTATATATATATATATTTTTCTAATATTCTGAATTTATCAAATGAACAAAAATTGTGCACTAAAATTTGCAGAAAAATGTCATGTCTAAGTTCCCTGTAGAGGATGTGTTACTTCACTTATAAAATCAACAATGTCATTTGACTAGGGGTGTTTAAACTTTCGCATACCACTGTATACAGTCTTGTCATTTTGACCCACAGAGATAAAATGTTCAGGCACACCTGAACTACAGTATCCTGGAAACACTTTGAAGTGTTGATACATATATATTAATATTACATCATGCATTCGTTAATATGTGAACACACAAGAACATGGAGAACACAACTAAGGACTGGAAAGACTGGAAACTACTGGCTTCAGCCTGATCTTAGACTAAACTACACACTGTATATGATTATTCTCTCCATTTCAGTTTCAAACATCTATGAAAAATAAAAAAAAAACACAAATAAAACACAACATCCAGCATGTGGTCTTTGAGAATAGTGTAAATGTTTATTGTTTTTTTTTCTTGATATCATTCATTAAGTACAGAACACAGAATCATCATTTAATAATATTTTCATTAATATCATCTTTATTACTGTCATTTATATTATATGTGACAACACATCAGTAGAACTGCGAGAGAGAGTGGACCAGATTTGGAGGGCATAAGGGACGACCGAACCACTGTTTAATAGTAGTGAAATCAGGAAGCAGGGCTTATTAAGGGCCACTAGGGAAGAACATCGGCCCTGTTCCAATCCTCTTTGACAGCCTCTTTATTTGTCATATTCCTAATCGACTATTAATGTAACAGGTAGACACAGAGGGTTAGTGAGGAAAGAAAAACAGATTTGTGAGTGTATGGGATGCCACTATTTTGGTTTGATGTACCATTTTATCAAAGGTGTTAGAAAACAAGGAAACTAATGAGGTGCACTAAAGAGTGAACTGGAACAAGGTTCTTCTTTCTTGCTGTATCACTCCTTCACTGGCAATTGTTAGTCTTTGGTGGCGTCCGTGTCCTAAGCATTTGAAATTATGAAAAGTGGAAAATGATTTACACCATTCAGTTTATGCAAATATGTAGTAAATATGTAATAAGTCTCTTCTGACACTTGTTATGGCACCGAATAGGGGTCACTACTTCCACAAAAACCCCAAGCAATCAACCGTGATCCACGAATCCATGATTGCAATAAATAAAAGACAATGAAACAAACATAAATGTATGTAAACAACACTGGAGAGATTGTTCTAATTTCACAGTGATGGATGTAGCAGGTGAAACCATTCAAACTGAGTATACTGAGAAACTTCAAGCACCATGGCATTTTAGTAAAATTGACATACAAGTAACAGGCCATTACAAGAACATCCCAACTGCAGTATCTACTTGCTGGAGAATTACCATAGTTCAGATCAACTGAGAATGACTACAATGACCAAATGCTTCTACATCTCGTCTGCAACAGGCGTTTGCCAATTGGTCAGTCTTCTGTGGAAGTCACAACGTCAACCACAAAGCAGTTACTCATGATGTAAGAACACCAACCTATGAGCACAACTTCCTCTGAAATTTCAAAAAAGCTACATTATTCCGTTACACCAACTGTGGGACACGAGCTGATACGTAACCTTGACCTCAGTCCTGCCACCTATGCCCACAAGATCAGTTGGCATGTAGTAATACTGGGATTGTGTTTTTTTGTAAATCTTCTTTACTTATTTTAATCCTTTCATAGTGCAAAAGAATGTAGCATTCTGGCCGACACACATGACCGTGATAAGACATTAAGTACAATTAGCTGTCTCGTACAATGTGCAGTGTTTGAAAGAGGACATGATGAAGGTGTGAAGCACTGAAGTCAAATCATAGAATCATCCACTCTTAATGACTCTGTTACTGTTCAACAAGCATATTAACAGCACACTAAAGTCCACACAGACTGGTGGGGGGTCCTCAGGCAACATCCTTTATATGTGAACAGATGCTGCTTTTTGATCACCTGCTCAACATTTCTTCATGTCGCTGTCATATGAAAAGCTTGTAACTCCTTTTTTCTTGTATTTTATTTTTTACTCCATTTGAAAAACGCCAGCTACCCTTTATATTGTTGTTTCCTGATGAATGGAAATCTAAAAAGCAAACCTTTCAAGTTTAAATTACATGAACAGATATTAAAGGGTGGTCAGCTTGCAAATATTTAAAATATCTCAAGATATGTGACTTCACATTAGTCAGATTTGGAAAAAAACAAACAAACCACATTTCAAACAGAAGCTTTTTAAAAGCTAAAAAGCCCCACTGTTCTGCTCAATCAGGACTGTGTTTGAACCGCATAGTGATTGACAGTAGCGTAGCTACAGCAACATTAACAACCCCATGGCAACCAACATATCATACAAACAGTGTTAGGGTTTGCTGTGGCTAGGTGGCTAGATGGCTATGACAGGAGACGTTAGCTATTCTCGGCTAGTCGAGTCAGACTAGAAGAAATAAAACGTCAGTAGTGTTTTCAGTACTAGATGTACAACAAGGTACACCACCAAAAAAGTAATGGCATAACGAAATGACGAATAAACAGAGGTGGTAGTTCAGGCCCTCCCTGGGATTTTCTTCTAACTGCCTGGCTTCTCTAATGAACTAAAACCAGCAGCTGAGGTCTCCAGGCCGTTGGAACAAAATCCAGGAGTTGAATTACTCAAGGTAGGTGTAAATAAGTAAAAGAAAACTGGAAATGTAAGGCCTATAAAAAACGTGTATCTCACTCAGGCTCAACTATGGGGTAGCAAACAAAGAAAAAACAAGGACGAATGTGATGTCAGCGTCTTCCAACATCATCTTATATTCTTTACTTGACAGCCCATAGTAATTTCTTGGCATGCCTTATAGCAGCAAAAAAAACAGATTTAGGAAATAAGGAAAGAACATTTTTCCTTCACCTCTAAAGGTGCAGTTTGGGAGATATGAGATTTTCTTACAACGGCGACAATTTGCTTTATGTAGCATACATTATATACATCTCTCACATCATTCAGAGTACACATAATGAACTATACATGTGTGCAAAAAACAGAAAAACTTTGTTCATAGATTTAGAGACAACTTTTTCACTTCTAAAAATCTGTCCGTAATATCTCACCCTATACATAATGAAGCCATGGTATGCTTTGAAGACATCTGAGGACATCTGAGACATTTGAACAAACATTTCAACACCTAAAAAGTCCATAACTATGTCTAATAAGGCAGTGATATGAGTGAATGAAGAATCAGGGACGAATGTCTTATCAAGATGAAGATCTGTATGTATGAGTACTGACGATGGTATCAAATTGCAGAAGTCAGCAATGAGGCAACAAAATGGTGAACAACTGCAGTGGCTTGGTTTTGACTTGTGTGACAAACAAATAAGATGAATAAATATAAACAAAAACATGATACATACCTCAAATCTTCAATCATGTTAGCAGTCAACTAAGAAGTTCAGTCTTCTTTCTGCTACTACTTAATAGATTCAGCACTGAACAATTGATAATAGTCATCAAAAGCTTATATGACAGCCTCTGGGTGCCAATGAATCAGCTTAGCCAAATGTGGTTTGCATGTTGAACTTCTATGAGAAACAGATGTCTCGCTAAAACAAATGTAGCCCTGAAAAGTTAACACATTTAAAATTATTTGTAAGTAAATATGGAATTCAAGTAACCCTGGAGTCCTCAATATACCGTCGTTCAAGTCATATTTCTTCACAGTACGTCTTGCTATGAGAGACCTACTCTACAGGGGATGATGGGCTATTAGTTAATGTGCATATATGAACATAAGGAATATCTCAAAGGGAAATAAAACGTCGTCGTAGCAGCATAGTAAAAATTTCATTCTGTCCTTTCACCTCATTTCTAACGTGGCGTTGCCATGGAGACCCTAAACGCCACCATTTTGCTGTTTACATGGTTTGGCACAGAGGAGTAAAATTAAAAACAATAAAAAATTTGGCTGCCGTTTCTATGAAGTATTTATATCGGTCTCAGTATACATATAAAAAAATAAAAAAATATCAAAATAAATAAGAACATATAAATAATAGCAAAACAACTTAAGATTTGGCAATTTTGAGATACTGTGTTTGTTTGTCAATGATGGACTTTCGCTGTCCAAAAAAGTGTGATCGCCTTCCTTGTTTGTTGCAAGGCATCAAGACACACACAAACACATGGATTAGCTACTGTAAATTGTTAATATTTTTAGCTATGCATCTATTAACATCCCTATAATATCATATGTGTAGAAGTCCATGCTCTTCTTCCACCTGTTTCTCTTTCACCCATCTTCTTTTCCCTCCCTCTTTCTTATAAAGTGATTGTAGTGTCTTGTAGGGTTGGGGATGTATCTGGCAAGGTGCCTTCTGGAAGCAAGGCAGAAAGAGACGAAATCTGGATGGACTGCTACGGAACAGCGGCAGAGTGTATGCGTGTGTGAGTGCCGGTAGCTCCTGCACCTTCTTTCTGTAGGACAAGGTTGTTAGTGGTCAGCGTTCATCCCATTGGTTCAGAGACAAGGGCCTGGCACTGTATGGTGTTTGTGGAATATCTTCTATTTCCAAGGAGTTTCACTGTCCATCTCCCAGAACTGTGATGCTACAGATTCAAAGCTGTGGCCCCAAGGAGTCTCACAAGTCAGGAGTCAAAGCCTCAAGAACCTTTGAATCAAGCTATAAAGGTTCTTGAGCGCATTTCAGTTTATCTAGTGGAAAGGACGACCAAAGGCTGAATCTTCATACCTAATTCATGATGGTGATGATAGTCATGATATGCATGGATATGTATGTCAGAGGCTGATCTATGGCTCCCACTGGACATTTGGACGTTTGTGTTTTCCTATAAGTTAAGTTTCAGTTTTGGACAGGTGTAAGATCGGTCAGAGAGAGGGAGGGAAGAATTACTTCTGTCACACACTCTTAAAAATGAAGGTTCCTACAGATTTCTTGGCTTGTATGCACAGTTCTAACCTCCAGACCCCATTTACACCTGGTTGTTTCATGTGACTTGTATTTGAGTTGTGCCCAATAACGGTTAACCAAGTTACTGCAGTAAAAGCCCCCACTGATGCTAAAAACACACTGAATGCCGAGTTAAAAAACCTGTCGTTCACTTATTGATTTTTTTCATGCATTCTCTCACATGGACATAACTGAATATGTTGGGTGATATCCTAAATTAATACCACATTAATTGTACCTAACATAGATGGGATTGTTCTGTAAATGTGGCTGTTGAACTGCACTGGTTAAATGTTGTTCCTTGTTTTTTTCTGGTTTATTTAAAAGATGGATGAAAATCACAATTCTGCATGGCATTATTAATTTCCTTACACTGGCTTTACACTGATGTTTACAAGAAGACGGCTGTTTAGAATAATCAGCCTCCTGAAGGGAGGTCATGTGTAATGTTAGAGCTGGAGTGAAGGAGCAGCGATGCCTCTGTTTAGTGGTGGCAGTCCAGTGGGCATTTATTTTCCCAATATGTAGCACAGCTGAGGGAGGCTTCAGTGCAGTATTGGTTGTCAAATATGGTTGTCAAATGTGTGTCAAATTGGTTGTCAGATGCATTTTAGGCTAAAATTCATCTCAGACCACCTCCTTAAGTGGTTTCAGACATCAGATTTCTAAAGTTTTGAATTTGCCTACTGCATTTCTACTGCATTTATATGTGGATAATTTGGATATCATTATAATCCTGATACTCAAGCTACATCAAATGACCAGGTGTAAACTGAGTCACACATCTTAATTACAATAATGCCATTTTACCATATATAATACCATTCTTTGAAAGGTTCTTTAGGGAATTACAAGTGGTTCTTCTATGGCATTGCACCAAAGAACCCTTTTTTGCACCTTTATTTTTAAGAGCGCAGTCTGTGCTTCTGTACTTCTGTCGTGTCTCTATACATACACAGTCTTTCTCTTGAACTGAGATGGTATTTAAGCATTCTGCCCTTTCTTTTGCACCAATCACAGTTCGGTCTTCATGGGTGTGTATTAGTATGTATGCGTATGTGTGTACTCGCGTGTTCTCCGTCACTCTGCCCGTGTGTGTGCAGCGTTTCTCCTCTCCCATGTCTCCGTATGAATCCACCACCCTCTTTTCTCCAGCACCATCAGTTCTCCAGGCCCTCAGGGCAAACCATACCGGGATAAAGCTGCTGTGGAGTGGGCAAGACGTCCTGCCGCAGGTCCTGGTGCTGGTTCCTCTCTTCGCCGTCACTGTCGGTGCTGCCCTCGCTGTCCAGCCGTGGAGACGGGTGGTGAGGGTACAGAGCCGTGGCTGGCAGGGGGCTCTGGAGGAGGTCCTCGTCCGAACTCAAGTAATCCCCTTCTGCAGAAGCCGGGCTAGCCAGGCACAGGTCCTGAAACGCCCCGCCTCCAGAGTTTTGGAATTTGGAGGGCTGGCCACGCAGCTGCCGTATCTGAGAAAATAAAAAAAGAACATAAGAAAAGCACTGAATAAAGCAGTAGTTTGGAATCAGTTCACATTTGGAATTGCTGCAGATACCTATGCAAACTCTGCATAACTTCATAGAGTTTGAATAGCTTGTAGAAAGCTTTAAAAGACTAAGACACTGGTAATGTGTGTTAGATGTGTGGTTCCCAACTCTAGTCCTGAAGTACCAGTGCCCTGCATATTTTAAAGAAGAGCTTGTAAATCAGCTGAGTATTAATTCACAAGCCCTTCTTTATGTGTGCAGCCATATTTCTGCATATTGAGTAATTTACAGTAGCTTAGCGAATCAGGTTTTAGAATCGGAACTATTCGATTTATAATACAGCATGACAAGTAGAGTGTTACAGTGATTTTTTACCACAGTTAAAGGATGTCCGGTATTTACACAAGTTTATAAAATAGTGACAAAATGCAGTGTGACAAAATACACCAATATGCAATAAATTATTTTATTTATTATTAATTATAATCAAAATAAACAACTCTTCTGCCAAGAAATGTAGCTCCTTAGCATAACACTATCGTTTACATAACAATCAAAGATCATTTGATGACCTTTTTTACTAACTTGGCACATTAAATGTGTACATACTGAGCATTTTACAGTAGCTTCAGCCAATCAGATTTTAGAACTTTTCTTTTTGACCGTAAATCATTGCTACATGACTACAAAATGACTAAATGGGGCCAATTTCGCTTTGCCGGACGTAATGATTGCAGGACCTGATTATTTGGATCGGACATAAATATGCTGGACAGGACAACATCAGAAGCAGAGCTGGGAACCACTAGCACCATTTTATCAGCTTGAACTTATCAGTATATAGAAGACAGCAACATACAGGAGGCTAAAAAATGACAAAAAGCACATCTTTGTGGCCATGTTCTCTGATAAAGCCTTTTCCTCTGAGTGTGCTGTTGGCCCTGTCCTAATGGGATGATTGGCAGGTTGGAAAGTCTATGAAAATGAAGATGCAATTGGGTTGAATGCGTTTTCAAAGGTATTTTGACACAAAATGAGCGCAGTAGGAGAGCACACGTAACTGCAAAGAGGAGAGGTGCTATTTCCCTTTTATATTTTAATGTTGCCCTCTTTCGAACTTGGGGTTCCCTTTGATAATGCAATTTAAATGAGTTATTAGAGTGTGAAAATGCATATAAGACAAATTCTTTTTAATTATCATTATCACCATTGTTGCATAATCACATTAAGCATTAATAGTTCTGGAAATACATTTTCATTTAAATAAAGCTACACATAAAGCATCTAATCTCTGTGTAAATGAAATGTCAATACCAGTATAACAAATGGCAAATTAACATGGCAGTATTGAATTTGACTTTTCATTTTGAGCTCAACTTTGCATATATGAGTGGAAAATTTAAATGCAAACATACAAACAGATCGCTATTTATATATTACATTTTCATTTTCATTTTGATACTGATATGTTTCCATACAGCCTTAGCTTCTACTTGAAATCAATGTACTATTCAATAACAGCTATTCATTTTTAATGAATCTCCGAATGACTAAATGTACAGTCATATGGAAGGAATTAGGCATCCTGGACAAATTACATGTTTTGCTGATGTTCTAAGTTAAATAAGTTACACATCCTCCTCACAGAATACACTTCTGCACCTTTCAATGCACTATTACTGTTTATTTGCTGAATTTAATGTATTGGGAAAAATAACACATAAAATGTGGCCTGTGCGAAAGTTACTGCACATTTTATACTGTATGTTAATTTTTTTTTTTTCTCAAAAAAATGATGTGTTCACTTAGAAAATCAACAAAACATGTAAATTGACTGGGGAGATTCAAAGTTTTGGACACAACTGTATGTATGAGGGAACCAGACAATAGAAGGTTGATTCAGATTTCCTTTTCTGTAAACTCTTTTGTTCAGCCCATGTCTGAGGAGAGTCAGTTAGATCGCTGGCTTCAGGCCCGTGGTCTGCTGCCATAGCAACACGTGTGGTTTGATAGACATGGTGGTCTAATACGTGTCATGAAGAGGAATTTAAGCAGTACTGACGATAAGAGTGAGGTTACGGTGCAGCACATACACACACTCATACTCTTGAACACACACGTAGACACTGGTTATGATCAAACTGGTTGATTCACTTCTGTGTAAATCAGTGGGACTGACGTTGTGCTATTGATGTAATATCTGTGCTCCTCATAGAAATATATTAAGTGATTGACTTTCATTTGATTTTATATTCTGACACTTTTTGCAAAATGAAATATGGGGTGTTTTTTAGTTTACATTGACTTTAACTGAGTGTCTTAAGTGACTGACCTTGATTTGACTTCACCTTCTGTACTTTCTATGGAATGTTTGACAAAGTCTGTTGCTTTGTAGCTGTTCAGTGCATGTGCGTGAGTATAGTGCGTGTGAATGGCTTAGTCAGTGGATACCCTTGCGTGACTGAAGTGGACCACATTTTTCTGTCTCATTTCAAATCTCTCATTCTGACTCATTGATCTTGTGTGTGTATGATTTGTATGCATGAGAGAATGTCACAGGTAGAGAGTAAAAAAAATCTCAGACTTGACATCATGGATTTCCCAACAAGCCCTCAGGCAATCTGCAAATGGGGGAGGGGCGGTGGTTAACCAATGGAAAGGCTTCCTGAGACAGTGATCAGTATAGACTCCGCCTCTCACTTCCTCTCTCTCGGCTTTCAGTGAAAACCACAAAGCAAAAGTCACTGCGCCACCCGCACAAAACAGGCCGCCACCGAGATTTACCTGCGTATCTGAGCTACAGAACGAGTGTCAATCAGAGGCCTAATATCAGGGTATCTTCTCTTTCTATATATATACATAAACAAGTTCTAACAACCATTAATTTGCTTAAATCTGAAATCTTAACATTTTAATGCTTATAATGAAACAATAAACCACTAAGGAAACTTATGCAAAAGTCTAATGAAATACTAACAATACCAACGGCAATGATTAAATCAGGGTGCTGCTCTGTGTTCTTCTAACTGTGCTCTTCTATACAAGATATGAATATGTTTGTTTATAAAAAGAAGCGTCTGTGTGTGTGTGTGTGTGTATAATCCTCTATGGGGAACAAACATATTGGAAAAAATAAAACATAAAAATAAAATGTGCTGGAACTTTTGGTTCTTTAGGCACTTTAGGTTTACTTTTTTCAAATTTGTTAAATTTAGTAAATAAACAGTAATCTCACATTAAAATGTGTGTTCTCTGTAGAGAAGAGTGTACTTATTTTTACTTAAAAAAATCAAAACATATAATTTGACAATGGATGCCCAAACTATTACATATGACTACACCTATATTCCACCTAACTGGTTCAATGTAAGAGTTTAAACACATATTAGACTTTTAATTGACTGACTAAAATCCTTGTGCTTTGACTGACCTTACATCTTAATTATATTTGTTTTATTAAACGATAAATGAGTGAACATTTTGTCACTACTGAAACAATCATAACACTATTTAAAGTTCAAATAACTCAAAAATGCTACCAGTACATGACTAGTGAAGATAGCTTTCAACAGGTGCACACAAAAATCGTTATATTTCTTATTTAAACACAAAAAAGTTTGCTTAATTGCAGAAAATATGTGTTTCAGTAGAGATCATTCTTAATGTTACACACTGATTTTCAGACTTTGGGACACATTTACTTTAAAACAAAGGGATCTAACTGCTCACCATGTGGCCATGAGGGAGGTGGTTAAAATAAGGCTCCACCTATGGACTTTGTGTTTCGATAGGGACATGAAAAGGTGGAACAGCATTTTTTTAGTTCCAGTTTTTTTTTTATTTAAAACCTAAACTCATGATAAATTTAAATATTTCAACTCCACTTTTAAAGAAATCAGAAATATCTTAACTCTGAAAAAAAAACAACAAAAAAATGTAAGTAGTTTATTTACAAGTTGAAATTTAGGGGTTAAAGTCTGGAACAGCCACCTCCCAATAGAAAGTCCACAAATGATGATTTTGTATATCACTGTTGTCGGAAGAAAACCTCGTATCTCCAAAATGATAACTTGACAAGAAAAGGAAAAAACCTACTGTACTTTGATGAAGTATGTGAAACCAGGCGTTTGTCCATGTCGTTTTGTGCCATTTCTTTTGGTCCATTCTTTATGAAATTTACACACAATATAAAGGACAACAGGTGTACTCAAATTATGTCAAAAACTGAAAAATGTCAAAAATGGAGATACAAGGTTTTCTCCCAACAACAGCAATATATTTAGCTTATACTATCTCAATTAATGCCTGGGGTTTCATAACATAATCCTGGTATATATCTAAGGTCTGAATCCTTAATTATTTTTAAATTGTATTTTTTTTACTGTGGGACTACACACACACACAAACACACACACACACACATCATCTAAACCGCTTATCCTTCTGGGTCGCGGTGGGGTGCTGGAGCCTATCCCAGCTGTCACTGTGGGACAACAGTTTGAAGAAATTCTGTATGTATTCTGTATTTGCAGAATGATTCATATATGTATACATATATATTACAATATGATAAAAGCTTTAATAAGACTTGCAATAAAAATATTCTGTATTCCACAGCACAGTGTTTTTTTAATAACTTTGCCTAGCCAATCAGGTTTTAGATTCAGAGTAATCTATTTTACAATAAAACAAAATTGTAAGAGGCTGTATGTAACAGTGACTTTTACCACAGCTAAAGGGTGTTATTAGGCAAGATAAAACAGTGACAAAATGCAGTATGATAAAATACACCAATTTCAATTAAGAAGTTATTATTAATCCAATTAATGTATTATAATTTATTATTACTAATAACCACAATTAGCAATTCTTCTGCCAAGAAATGTAGTTTATTAACAATAGGCTATGGTTGCTGAGTAACATAATCGTCAAGTATTATACCATAAACAGCACAATAATTTTTACTTATTTGGCATGACATTAATGTGTATATATTGAGCATTTTACCACAGCCAATCAGATTTTAGAACTATCTGTTTTATAATGTTCCATTTTTGACAGCGCATCGTTGCTTCATGACCAGAGAATGGCTAAATGGTGCTAATTTCACTGTACATAGATTTGTATGTAAACACTGGTTGAAGGCATGAATAGTATGAGTGAAAGAAAGAACGAGAGCGCGGTGAGCGGTAAAACCAAAAAGGAAGATGACAAGGACAGAAGAGCAATACACAGAGACAGAGAGAGAGAGACAGAGAGAAAATGGAGAATGTCAGCATACTCTCACACCCCCATGTCACGAAAAGCTTGTCTCTGGATGAGCAAGCACTGCTCGGATCAACAAAATGTGCGCGTGTGTGTGTGTGTGTAAATGTGGGTGCAGGCAAGAGGTCTCATCAGCATCACTCACACACACACACACACACACACACACACACAGACACACACACAGACACACACACACATCAAAAGCGCACTGCACACATCTGTGTGTGTATGTGGTTCATTTGGGAAATTGGAGAAATAGGCTGCAGTGTGGTCTATGTCGTGGTTTTTGATGCCATTTTTAATGCATTTCTCAAATTACAGGGTTGACTGATGATCTGTCAATGTTAATCTTAAGGCCATGCGAATGCTATACACTTGCTGACTTGGGAACAACCAACATGCTAAATACTAGAAATGACTGCGGACTGTTTTCCGGCACAAAAGGTAGACAGTCTGACTGTAAACAAAGTACGCTGAATGGTAGATAATTCGCTTTGCTATCAGGCAGAAACAATGTTCAATATAAAGACACTGTGTATAAGATTTTGACCTAAAAACTATACCAAACATCTTTCAGATTCACTTCTTAACCTAGAGTATAGACTACATTTCTTTTAGATTTGCTTTTTAACCTGCTTTATAAGCTAAATTTTTTAGATTTGCTTTTTGACTTACATTATAGACTAAATGTCTTTTAGACCTGCTTTTTAACCTGCAGTATAGACTAAATTTCTTTTAAATTTACTGTTTAACCTAAAAAACAATCTCTTTTAGATTTGCTTTTCAACCTACAGTACAGACTAAATTTCTTTTAGATATGCTGTTCAACCTAACAATAGACCAAAATCTCTTTTAGATTTGCCTTTTAACCCACACTACAGATAAAATTTCTTTTAGATTTGCTGTTTAACCTAAAAATAGACCAAAATCTTTTTAATCTACACTATAAACTAAATTTCTTTTGGATTTGCTGTTTAACCTGGACTATAGACCAATTTTTCTTTTCAGATTCCCTTTTTTTAACCTAGAATATAGATAGAATTTCTTCAAAATTTGCAGTTTAACCTACAGTAAAGATGGAATTTCTTCCAGACTCACATTTCAATCTACAGCATAGATTAAGTTTGTTTCATTTTTGGTTTTTAACCTAAAACATAAACTAAATTTGTTTCATATTTGTTTTTTAACCAGAGTTATAGAATGATTTTCTTTCGGATTCACTTTTTTAACCCAGACTATAGCCTGAATCTATTTTTCTAAGATTTGCTTTTTAATTTAAGAGTAAATTAAACTAAATTTCAGTATGATCAAGACAACGTATAGATTCCCTTAGCAGGTATAACTTTTGACAGTGCTTAAGTGTACAAATATACTGTGTGTACTATACTGTGTGTGTGTGGGAGTGTGTGTTTTTGTGTTTCTGTCTGTCTGTCTGTCTCACCTCATTCTTTAGCTCGGCGATCTGTTCCCTCAGTTGAGTAATGTATTGTCTAGAATCAGAGTGATTCAGCTGACCCTGTATCAACCCTTCCTCTTTCTGAAACACAGCATACAACACATACACACAATCACTCACTTAGAGACACTATAAGATGCATTAAAGGTGCTCCATTATAATAAACCTTCAAACCACATCTACATGTCTTCAATATACCTCCAAACAAAAGCACACAAACATGCCTGTGTTCTTACTTGTATTTCTAGCTCAGCTATTTTTTGTCGGAGTTCGGCCATGGCCGCCATACTGTCTGCCTCCCTCAGGCGCACTGCCATCACCTCCTCCTTACTCTGAGAGAGAGAGGAAAGAGAGAGAGAGAGGGAGAGGTAGAGACAGTGATTAATTCATTACATGCATTCTTTTGTTTTTTTTTTAATTCGCCCACAGTGTCCTTCCCGCACACTTTTTCCTTTTCACACATTCTGACACATTCACTCATGCAGCTCATTATTTTGTATGATTAGAGATTATTACAGGCTTTTTGTGTATGTGTTGATGTGCCCATGTTGGAAATTAACATATTTATTAAGGGACAATTTTAGCCCCCTGGATTTGATTATTATAAAGACATTTTTTCTCTAGCCTTATAAGAAGACAAATAAAATCAGCCGCAGATAAAATCATGAACACCTAAATTAAATCAATATATTTAAAAAAATCAAAGATGCCTTGATAGTTGACACAATCACTGTAGATTTTGCTATATGTGCAGTTTTGAGTGTTAGAGTGTTCACATGGTCACACAGTGCTGCTTCAGAAGAGAATTGAGTTTGTGTTTTTTTTTTAATGTATAATGATTCAAAAAATGTTCCATGATTCACACATTTCCTACCAAAGAACATTATCACTATCAGTGAACGATGTGTAATATGTATAAAATACCATTCATTACTGCACTAAATGCAAAGAATGTATTTGAATCAATTGTCTCCACATGAATAAAATACATTACTACAACACAGTTATTAACGGAAAGTGAAATAAAAGAACAATTGTGTTGACTTTATGCATTATATTCATGTGAAAATGAAATGATGTACAAATATATATCCAGCAAATTCACTGCATCAGTTTTTACATGAGTGTGGGGAATCTGTTACATGGGGTATTTGTGCACTGGTTCATTGTAACATGTAAACATGTGTTTACATGTGCGAGAAAAACAAGCATGCGGTACCTTGCAGTCTGACTCGGCCTGTTTCCTCTTCATCTCGTTGAGCTGGCTCTGCAGACTCTTGTTGTGAGATAAGGCATTCTGCAGTCTCTCCTGCAGGGCGGCGCCCTCCTGCTCATGACGGCTGACTGCTTTACTGAAAATCTGATTCTACACCACAGAACACAGTGTGTGTGTGATTAATGTGTGATCAACATGATGACAGGATATAGTCTGAGCAGTGCATGGGTCTTGTCACTTGGTAATCCACAACACTGAGAAACTGATATCTAATATGAGAAATTTGAAAAATGTTGAAGCAAACACACTAACAGTCAGGGTTGGGATATGATAGAATGCAAGACAGAATGGAAATACATATTCAGAAAACAATCTGTATTACATTTGGTAAAGGCAGTATTCAGAATAGAGTTTTTAGGAGAAAATTTCTAGACATATGTCATCTCAAAAGAAATCTCAAAAAACAGCTTCTTTACAAACACTGAAGTTCCTGAAAAAGCCTGAAAGCATCAAGCCATAGCATACTGTCAGCTATCTGTGCCACATCCCTTGTGCCAGTGGATCATGGATTTCCTGACAAACAAGATACAGCAGATGCAGCTTGGAAAACACGTCAAGACTCTCGGACCCTCAGTAGTGGACTATCACAACGTTGCATGCTCTCACCCCTTCTCTTCAGTCTCTATGCCAAAGACTTTGACTCAAGAAACCAGTTGTGAAGATCCTCAACTTTGCAGATGACACCACTGCGTTAGGCCTTGTAGCCTATGGTGATGAATCTGCTTATAAAAGGAAGTTGAGCAGCTGGTGTCCTGGCTCAGCAGCAACCCCCTGCTACTGATGTTGGTGCCACCCCCCCCAGTAACCTGCCAACATCTGTGGCTCTGTTTCCACTGTGGAGTCACTCAATTTTCTTGGAACAACCATATCTAGGAACCTGAAGTGGGAGAATAATGCAGTCTTCAGAGCCAAGAGAGCACAGCAGAGAATGTTTTTCCTGAGACAGCTGAAGAAATTCAACTTGCTGAAGAGCTTGACGGTCCAGTGCTACACAGGGATTATTGAGTCCATCCTCACATCATCTATGACCATCTGGTTTGGTTCCTCCACCTCACAAGAACGAGCCAGACACCAGTGCATAATCAGGATGGCTGGGAGGATCATTGTATGTAGTCTGCCAACACTTCAGGACATCTACAACAGCAGGGTGATGAAGCACGCTGGCAAAATTACAGCTGCCTCCTGTCATCCTGGACATAACCTCTTCTAGCCAATCCTCTCTAGTAGAAGATTCAGGGCAAAAAAAAAAAACAGCTTTTTCCCCAGAACTGCAGTGCTCATTAACCACAGTGGACACCTTGCACTTTAAACCTAAACTGAACCTAACAAACCTCCTTACTGTATTACAGCATAACTCGTCTGTAACATAATGCTTATTTGCACAACTGTACAAGTTTTAAAAAGGTTTTTTTGTTCCTTAGTTATATATTTGTTAATAGCCTGTCTGGTCTGTGTCCAACACAGTCAGGTCATTTGAGACAGTATAGAGAGAGTATAATTTGGGAAAGCTTTTGCTCTTCACCACATTTCAAACTAATCTGATAAATTAACACAGCCTAACATTATTTAGCATATTTAGATATTTTATTTCATGCTATTTCTGTGGTAAATGTGGTAAAAGTTTAGATATAAACCATAACTGGGATTAGGCCTAATTTTTTCTTCTCTGAAATACATACAAACTCTTGGTTGGGGCCTCATGAACTGCTGTTATTGCTCAGCACTGTTTTGCTCTAAGCCCTTTAACGGCCAGGACCGACAAGTGGGCCCAAAGTTTTATTACACACTTCCTTAACCTAAGAATAGCTCAGCCAGTTTGCACTGAAGTCTCTGTAGTTAATGAATAATAAGCCTTAATATGTAATAAGCCTGGTATTTTAAGGGGTTAATTAAATTTAGTGTATCAAACAAAAGTAAAACAACTTGTCAAGAGCCTAAGCACCAGATTTGTCTCAGCAAAGTACTGTAAACTATATGCTCCATATATATGGATTATAATCTTTCTTAATGTAGTCAAATTCGATGCTTTTAATTGTAAAAGCAGATCTTTAACACTGTTCCATGTTGCCTATCAAATTTTATAGTTTAGGACAACTTCAAATGACTGAGTTACAAATAATAAAACATTTTAACCAGTTTTTTACTTTTATTTTGTTGCTCCTGTTGCCACTAAGTTATCTATGTATCATATAAAGGTAATGACTTGTAATATGACCACTATAACTTTAATTTACATCCAGTTTTAGTTTTACTAGGCCTACATGTCCTTTCTCTACATCTTTATTTTCTACTATAGAGCAGTATTAGTCTTTAAAGTTTTGCTAAGTGTGTTACAATTTGGTAAATCACAGCTCTTAATAGTGTAATTGATTGAAAATCCTAACTTTGGAGCCGCTCATCTGTTGAATATGGAAAAATAAAATTACAGTTGACAATGAATGCACATTATGCACTTTCAAAAAACTTCTGCCAACGACTTCCACAGGAACTGAACTCGCTGCTGTTACAGTTGCTCATGCCTCACTTTACCAGATGAGGTTTGGTACTCAGTGTTTATAGCTTCCTAATCAGCTGTGCAAACCAAAACTACACTGGTTCATTACTTTCATAAATACAAATATATACATATAAATACAAATATACACACAAAGAAACAGCTTCTTATAAACATAATGTCGTCTAAGAGAACTGATAGACAAGTTGTTATTTTAAGAGCAAGACTGCGAACACAATGCACGAACATCACAGTATATTTGCCTTGCTCAATTCAAACTTCTGGAATTGATGGCGTAGATATCTGGAACAGGAAACTAAGCTGCTAACAGCAGCCTCTAAGCTGTTGCTCCAACTACTCAGCTCTCAGACACTCGTTGCGAATGTTCGTTTGAACTGAGGTTTAAATGCTTGTCTAACAACAGTTCTTCTGATGAAACTTGCCCACATAGTTGGACAACAAAGCTTTGGGGAAATGCACCCCTCAGTAGTGGACATGTTCACAAGTGATAAGCTTAGCATCAGTGTTGTACTAGACTTGTGCATGTGTTTTGTGGCAAATTACATACATGTCATTAACTAAAAAAATCACACAGCTACCCACTTTATAGTCAATTTTGCAAAATTTTGTTGTTGGAATATTGCAAATTGTTTGCTTAGTTCATGAGACGGCAGTGGGATTATGGGAGCAGCAGTGGGATTATGGGAGCAGCAGTGGACTGAAGCAGTTACAGGCAAAATAATGATGAGAATTTGTAACTTCATTTAAATATGTGAATTTTTCATGTAATACATTAACAGAAGAATCCTATCAATATGTATTCTGAATACATTACCTTATGCATTGTAATGTAATGCAGTACTGAAAATATTTTGGACAGTGTATTCATTATTCAGTCATCACTACTCCGCCCAACCCTGTTAAGTCTTCACAGAGCATTATGCATACATTTTTGATGGGCTTTGCAAGTAGGGGATGTGTCTAACCTGGCTCTCCAGCTGCAGGTTTTTGAGTTTGACCTCTTTGAGCTCAGCCTGGGTCTGAGCCTCTCTCAGTTTTAGGCTCATTAATTTGTCCTGCAGCTCATTCAAGGCGTTCTTCTTGGGAGACTCTTTCCAGTGGCCTCCTCCACGAGATGTGTGGTGCTGAGAGAGAGGGGCAGGTAACTTGATAAGAAACCATTGTAAACAGACAATAAATTACAAAATATTATTATTTTACATGTCTTTGGACTGCTGAAAAGTGCTATATTCATACAACATATTAATATTATTTTTTAATAGTTCCTGGTGTTTAATTTATACTATTTTAATCATCACTGTAGATGTTTTAGTTGAACATGAATAATATAACAACAATTATTAACATGATAATGGGTCCTAAGTCCAGTCCTATGGGTCCTCTGTATTACTTCCACTACTACTTATACCCAACACACCAGGTCCTGCTCATGAAAGCCTTGATAATTACTACAGATGTGCACAGGTACTTGAATATTTGGTTACTTGTTCCAGACGTCAGTATTCGAATACTGAACTCACTATGTGAGTATCTGTTACACTGCATCATGGAAACTATTCAGAGAAATGCAGCTGTCCACTGTGACAGTTTTGTTCGTATTTTTATTTTAATTAAGAATATAATACTTTGCTACTGTGAAACATGCCTTGACATGAGCACATGTCCAAGGATGCGATACTAAGGATATAACAGCAGTGGTAGTGCAGCTGTAACTAAACTAAACTAAGTATTCTAGATGGTGTTAGCTAGAACCAAAACTATGAAAACAGACACGTTGGCATATCATCCACTGATAACGGAAAAAAACCTCATGTAGAAGTCCACGACTCCTCACCAGCTACCAGTGCACTGGTTAGCTCTGGTGTTAGTGTTAGTTCATTGGCTCATATGTAGGAGCAGCCGCCATTACTGAAGACTCATCCAACATGAAAATTTAATATCAGCTTTCTCTTCTCTATTTTTCAATTGTAGGCTCTTTATTTCTTTCTTTCTTACTTGCTTGCTTTCTTGCTTGTTTGCCTGCCCTATGTATAGCTGAATACTCCTTCATGAACTCTTACAGATATTCAAACATCAAAGTCTCTCACGAACACATGAAAAGCTGAATCGGGTATATTGAGGCAGGGAAGATTTGAAACTGCCACATATGCGGCCCACACAGGACTGAAGATCAGAAACACCGTTGTGTGGAAACAGTGAAATGCGTGTGCGTAGTGTTGCGTAGGGCTACCTGCCAGCGCTGGTTGAGTTCAGTGACGATGTCCTGCAGCTCTCTGAAGGAGCGTAGTGTCTCCAACTCTCTCAGCTTCACCTGCTTCAGCTCCTCTTGCAGCTGCGCAACATTTGTCTCATCAGGCAGGGAACTGCTCCTCTACACACACATTACATGTTAGAACAGACATATGGTGGAGTCCAAAGGTCTAAGACCACTAGTAAAAAATGCTTCTCTTTTCCATTCTTTTCTAATTTAATATAATTTTTTTTTCAAATCTGAGTGAAAAGTAGAATCTTTGAAATATTTACATGAATTTCATAATTTCTTAGTATTTGGTATTTCTCCCTCTTGCTTCAGTGACAGTATGCACTTGAGCCTGTATGGAATCCTCGTTTGTGAAAAAGCCTCTGATGTGTAGATTAAATCCACCTAAGAGTCGTCTGACCACATGCTTCAGTGACACATAATACTAAAAAAAAATCTGACCTTTTTGCACAAAACTATAAAATTGCTTAAATTTTAACAGTGACGTTGCACAGAATTTTTGAAGATTTTACAAACTTACAAACATTCTACAATTTTCAGACTCCTAAAAACAAAAAAAGTTATTTCTAAGTTTACATGTTTAAAAAAAAAAATCTGTGTGGTCTCAGACTTTTGGGCCTCACTGTAGGATGTATTGGAGCACATTAGGGACCTACTGATAACACTGGGCTGGCGAAATCAGCAAAGGTTTTATATAAAGATTCCTTGGATTTTTAAACACAGGCTAAAATCAGACCAATAAACCACCTACATTTATGAACAGCTTGTTATACTTTTATAGTGGATAAAGGTAATGTGAGGGGAATTAACCACTAATGATTTCATACTCTTATATCAGTCTTTACAGAGACCATTAAGTTTGCACTCAGATTCAGCTGTTTATGTTTAAGAAATGACAAAGTTGAGAACTAACAATCACATCAGTCAGTAAAGCAACATTTAACTAAAACTATAAACTATTACAGTTTTTTTTATTTTCAACCATATAAAATTACATCAATTGATATTGCTAATTACTGGAATTTTTATTTCCTTAAGAACAGTATCTATGACTGCATTTTCATATTGGTTGGGCCCCAGAACACACACAGTTCCTCACCTTCTCGAGGTCCAGCACCTTGTCCTGCATCTCCTTCAGTGCACTGAGGAGCTCTGCCTCCTGAAGGCGAGACTGCTCCAGCTGAGTCTGCAGCCCATGCACAAACTGTTCTGTGTACTATAGAGCAAAAGAAAGAAAGAAAGAAAGAAAGAGGCTGACACACTAATATAAGAGTGCAGCTAATTGATACGTTCTAATTACAGTAATACGGCAGAATGTGTAAACAACACCATATGGAGCAATGTCTTTATCACTGTCCTTTTAGTGAACAAAATAGTGCAACAAACTAACGTGAAGGTAGTCTGTAAACAATTCAGTAGTTATGACCTCATGACTATGGAAATTCAGCATCTAAATAGAACGTGTGAAGCCCATACTTTCTTACCCTCTAGTCTTTATGTTTCTGGAATGTTTAACAACAACAACAACAACTAGTTTATTTATAGGACACTTTTCATACATGTAGCAGCTCAAAGTTCTTTACAATATAAGTGTAAAAAAGTAAAAAAAAAAACATACAAATAATAATACTATTACAAAAATGAAATAAACTAGCTCAGAGATTATTGGGAAAACATATATAATACTGGTGTGCATTAGAATTTAACCAAAAGCTAAATAAAAAAATATATGTTTTCAGATGTTTCCTAAAAGTACCGAACTTGACTGTCTATTTGTGAAAAGTATTGCAGCGATCTGTTATTATGGGCTTTTTTCTGTTATTTACACAGGGTATTTGCACCTACTTTAAACTGCCAATTTTCCTCATAATGTAAATTTATACTGCGACTTTGGCTTATAGAAAGGAATAGAAATGTGTTTGCTGGTTTCATGTCCATCTGCTATTTTGGCCGCAAAGAAATGTGAATTAGAAATGACCTTAAACTGAGAATCCCTAGTGATAGGCCACTTTAAAAACAGGCAAAAGAATTTTTAAATCTATCCTAAAAGCTATAGGTAGCCAGAGCAGTTTAGCATCTTGACTGTAGCTTATACATTCTAAAACTTTAACATTACTTTCAAATGTTTTGACTCTTTGAAAGAAGAAACCTTCATTCATTTCTCAAAACCACCATCATTCCGTACTCATCACTTTGCGCTAGTTCAGCTTAAACGCTTTTTGTTTTTGGGAAATCCAGCCCTGCTCGAAAACAGGTCCTTGTTACACCAAACCAATTTTCCAATTTTCGTGTGAAGTTCATCACAACTGATAAATAAGGGTGTTCAAAGTGATACTTGCTCAACTGCCTCACCATCAGCTTTGTTCTGTGGTGCTTTTGGGAAACCAGACCCCTCAGCTAGCATTAGCATGATCAGCAGTGTGTGTGTGTGATCTGTCACAGTGCGCATGTTGTAAGGTTGTGGCCTAGTGGGAAAGCTGTGGCCTAGCGCAAGTGTCGCGTTCTCACGGACCTCGACTTCTCTTTTTTCACCTCCCTCCATCTTTTCCACTCACCTCACCATTCATATTTCAGTCATCTTTCTCCTTCTCACACACATACACACTCTGCCCTCTCTCTTTCTGTGTAAGCCTGCCTGTCATTATGGTGTCAAAAGGTTAGCATCACAATAGACTCACTGGAATGAACGCTCCACTTGAAAGAATGACAAACCCCCGCCCCCGAGCATGAGACATCAATGAAAGTCCATATTCAGTGACGACCAAAAGGGCTTCTATGAAAGCTTGACTCAGTATTGGGATCTGACATGGACTAAAATTCACACACGCCACTGTAAGGGTGTCATTTCATTCCAACCACCGTGCCCCCCTTTGCTCAGAGTGAAAACCCACGATGAACTGATTTAGATCAAATATATACGGGCATAGAAACCTATTTACTCAGAATCATGAACTTTTTTACTGACATGCACATACATGTATATACAGTACTGTGCAAGCCAGACAACCCCTATCATTAATTTCATTTCTAAATGGCCACTGAGAATAAGTTATTCCCATTTCACCTTCAGGAAAAAAAAATACTACAAAGAACAACTAAAAATAATTTTAGTGTTTTCCAGTATTTCAGGTGCCCACCCTCTTTATCGGCTTAAAGACACAGTAAATAGGGCAGTCGTGCTTATGGTTTATTGCTTTTTGTCGTGTTTGTCCCTCCTTTTTGCAGACCACTTGCTTTTTGTAGGCTTGGAGTTGTAATTAACTTTGTAGGCTTAGAGTTAAAATCTACAAAATCACAAGCTTTTTACATGAAAATATGTGTTTATGCCCACCAGCAACAGTTTTATATAAATAAAAGGACAGGTCCAACAATCGCTAACTTTAGCCACTGAACCCTCTGTACATATATTCAGTTGACTGACAGGGGTCATAGGGTCAGTATTTCAGCATGTCACATGACACAAAACTGCTGAGAACGTGACAAACACAGTAAAACATTTCTCTCTTTCACACACCCATCACACACTTCTCTCACACCTGTACAACGAGTGAAATCCCCCAGCTCATGAAGTGCTAAAACGATGCGTTAACTGACAAACCAGTTATAACAAGCTTTGAACTTGTTAATAACACATCTAATGAATGCCCCTAGCAAGGAGTTTGCAAAACAAGAGATAAAGTTTACAGTGACCCAGTGCTTTAAGACAAGGTCATAGAAGTGCTGTTAGAAGTGTGCAGTGGCCTACATTGCCAATGCCTTATCTCACATCAAGTCGCCATGGTGTGGTTTCTTTAGCAAGACTGTCTACTCACACAATCAGTAATCTGCACAGTGCTTAGATCCTTTTCGTGTAGAATTTTTACTTAATATTACCATCAAATTATAATTCAGTTGTTATCTGACTGTGTATGTCTGAACCTCACCAGTGACTTATGCATAATGTGGAAAATTCTCAGCATCTTCTGATGACTTAGATAAGTTGTAAATTATGAAATATAACACTTCATGGTTTCCCATAGGCATCTATAGCTAAATTCCACAGCAACTCCTCAATAACGGAGGATAACACCTCGCAATTTTTAAATATGTAAAGAGCGTGGACATATTGCATGTATGCCACTATAAACTCACAGCAGAAAGAGTCTCATGAATGCATGTGTTTGCACTGAGAACTTTCAAAACAAGGCGTGAAACAGTTTTCGAAAAATGTTGAGTTACTCAGTATTACATTGGTTAGTTTGTGATTTTGATTAAATCATTTAACGGTACAAAAGCAGTACGCTAAAAATGAGAAAGTAGGTCTAAATCATTTGGTGGACAATCATATATGTTCAACTGTAAGGAACATGCAATAAAACTGTCAACACGCTGACTAATTATATGATTGATAATAGTTGTACAGAAAATAGCGCTCCAGTGCAAAAACACTGACCTGTAATGGAACTTACTGTGTGTTGCTGCAGTTCTCGTATTGTGTCCTGTGCTTTTTCCAGATTTTCACTGGCTGTTGTGCACTGCTGACGCACCACAGCTAATTCCCGTTTGATCACATAGTTCTCTTCTGCTTCCTGTGCCCGTGTCACCTGGCCCTGCGGTGGTAGAGAGGATTCTTTAGTGTTGGTTTTGTTTCTACCCTTGGAGAGGAGAAACAGATGGTATGCATGCAAATGATCACAGGTTCCACATTTCCAAGTACTAAAGTCTTTGATAAAGTTAAACAGAGAATCTAGTCCATTTAATAATGTGTAACCAGGGAAAACTGTACTGCAAACCTTAAAATATTTGTGGACCTACAATGGAACCTTGAGGCACACCTGCACTTCCACAGTCTGCATGCAAGACTGTGAAAACTGTCTGCATAAAATGCTGGGGTTAGCTTAATTTTTACATGACTGCCATCATTCCTGCCATATACAATGCATGCGTCCACGGGTGCAAGGAACAATGGATCAAATCAGTTAATTAGCAAAACAAATGAACGTTCCCTCATGCATTGGGCCCATTCTCAGGAGCAGTGAGAGGCAGTGTGAGAGGGAAACAGAAAATAAACTCAGGGTAAACAGATAAAACAGGAAGTGGGTTATGAGAGAAAAGAAGGGAGAGATTTAACATTAACATTGACAGTACTTTACCTGGATCAACCTGTCTGCCAGCGCAGCACTTTCCTATGACACCACAACAGAAGAGAGTGGGAGGGAAGAGAAAAAAGGGAAAAAGAAAGAAAAGCAGAAGATACGGGTAGAAAATCACACAAGGACAGCGAGTGGGGAGGAGGTAACAAATTAAATGTTTACAATTAAACGTTTTTGAAAAAAAAAAAAGGTTTTAAAAAGAAAAATAGGGTTTTAAAAATAAACAGACATATACAAAACAAAAAACAGACAAGACAGACACACAGACAGAGAAACAGAGAAAAAGAGTAACAAAAGGAAATGAAGCAGGGAAGAAAATACCCCAGAGAAAAAGTTAGGGAATCACAACAGATAAATGTAGAGAGCAGGAGTGAGAATGTAAGGCTTCAGCATTTGAAAGAAGGAAAGAAACGCATAACAGCTGAGCACCTGACAAAAAATTCACTTTTTTCCAGAGAATACCAAAGATTACAGCACTAAACTAACTGCCACAGTTCATAGAAGCAAAACAGTTCTCACCTTCTCTAGTGTCTCAATTCTCTGCTTCAGCAGTCTGTTCTCTGTTCGTAGTCTCTATTTTGGTGAGAAAAAAAGAACATTTTCAGCACAATATTTCTGGTTGTCCTTTATTTTGTTTTAAACTTTATACTGTTTTATACATTTCCACACCTTAATTTCAATCTGCTCCTCCATTTCCTTGTTCTTGATTGTGGTGTATTCCTTCTCCAATCTGTGGTCAACAACGTGACAGTTAGTAAACAAAGCAACAAATCACACAGTACATGAGGGGCTTTACTGCTGGTTCCATTGTACCGTGACGTTATTAATCATTTTTCCCCTCTCCTCTTTGGCAACCACTCACTTTTTCATCTTCTTGGGGTTGTATTTAACTTGGTAGGCCCGAAGGATAAGTTTATCAGGGCAGCTGTCAAACTGGTGAGGTATCACCTTCTGGAAGTGCTGCAAGATGACAAAGACACATTATATACACAGTATTATTACATTACAATGGTATGTACACAAATATAACATATTATAGAGGAGTATATATTATACCTTCCCTTGATCAACAAGTTTGGATTGGATTAGATCAGCTATTCTACAGATTCTGACTTTGTTAAAAAAAAACAGAGAAAACTGGGCTAATCTACAATTTTAGTACCAGAAAGAACAGTCCTAACATTATAAAGTGTTAAATAAAATCTATGTTTCATTTTTTAAAACTGAAACAGCAAAGGCATTTCTATTTTTAGAACGTTAGAACACTCTTTGTCCATTTTAGCAGCTTTATTTACTATATAGGTGCACTTTGTAGTTTTACAATTACAGACTGTAGTCCATCTGTTTCTCTATATTCTTTGTTTAGCCCCCTTTTACTTTTACCCTGTTCTTGAATGGTCAGGAACCCCACAGGACCACCACAGAGCAGGTATTATTTGGCTGGTGGATCATTCTCAGCACTGCAGTGACACTGATGTGGTGGTGGTGTGTTAGTGTGTGTTGTGCTGGTATGAGTAGATCACACACAGCAGTGCTGCTGGAGTTTTTAAACACTCTGTCCACTCACTGTCCACTTTAATAGACACAGGTTCCTTGTTGGTCCACTTCGTAGATGTAAAGTCAGAGACGATAGCTCATCTGTTGCTACACAGTTTGTGTTGGTCATCCTCTAGTCCTTCATCAGTGGTCACAGGATGCTGCTCACAGGACGCTATCTGCTAGATATATTTGGTTGGTGTACTATTCTCAGTCCAGCAGTGACAACAAGCTGTGTCTAATCCACTCATACCAGTGCAACACACACTAACACAACACCACCACTTCAGTGTCACTACAGTGCTGACAATGATCCACCACCCAAATAATACCTTTCTCTGTGGTGGTCCTGTGGGGGGCTTGACCACTGAAGAACAGCTTGAAAGGGAGATATCAAAGTGTGCAGAGAAACAGATGGACTACAGTCTGTAATTATAGAGCTATAACCTATATGGTAAATGGAGCTGATAAAATAGAGTGTAGACCAAAGGAGGTGTACTTAATTATGTGGCTGGTCGGTGCATATGGTATGTATTAGTTTCACATATATGAACTACATGGAGACGAGAGAGAGACACACACACAGTCATGTTTTTTTCTCTAACCTGTGACATGCCCTCCATGTCCAGCTGTATGAGGTCTGTCTGGTTGTACTGTAAAATGGCTATCCCCACTCGGAATATAATCTCCAAACCCTGAAAATACAACACATGCACTGTTAAAACTGAATACATTCACTTACATTCATCCACAATCCACTCAGACATTCACACACACAAATACACACACACCTCATTCACACTCCTGCGAAAGCAAACAAACATGCATGTGCACCTTCACAGAGTTTCATTTTTGCAGCAGGCTATTACAGGCGTCCCCCACTTCAAACACACACTGGTCTCTGTACCTCATACATGAAGATATCAAAGATGCGTGTTGCTATGGGCAGAGGCAGGAAGGTGAGGAAGAGTGTGAGGAACCACGATGAGGCGTACATGGAGGTGTGGAAACTCTGTGAGCGAAAATGGACGTTCAACTCCGGCAACTGTTCCTGGATTATGAGAAAGAGAAAAAGAGAGAATGAGAGACGCAAAGACAGACAGAGAGCAACAGTAAAGTTCGCTTAAAGGGAAATATGTTTGATATGGCTGTCGCTGCTTAGTTACACTGAATATCTGCTGCCACCTGGTGGACAAATTTGATCTTCCTGTTGTACAACAGTACAGTTCTTATTCTTATTCAAATATACAATTTTTCCCTATTATTCCTATTCTGGGTGTAAATAAATGATGCCTGTGCTCATGTCCACATTCAGAACCATGCCACATAGTGGTGAGTAGAGTCGATATACAGCAGAAGGGGTATGAAAATGCATCATGATAAATCGACTTGAAGGTGGTGATCCAACATCAATGACTGAAATATTAAAATGGATAATAATGTTTTAGAATAATATTCAATGTATGCACTCATTTTTTGGCCAAAATACAATTATGGGATTAATTTTGAATGCAAAAATATAAAAAAAACCTCTGTGTACAGTTTTTATTGGATATATTCCACTACTGTGTAAACAGTTCTTCCAGTTAAGTAGCCTATATGTACTCAGTGCATTTAGTTAAATATTAAAGGGGCATTCTGACCTAAAACTAGCACTTAATATGTTTTTTGTCATGATATGTGATATGCTGTAGCTCAGCACGTCATCCCTCAGCCTCTTAGCCTTGGAAGAATTCACAATTTAGTATTCTTTTTGTGTTTTTGTCTTTCCATGCTCTCTCACTACAATACCCAGTATGCATCGCAAAAATACATAAACTACTGGAATTCCTCTCTCCACTGCAAAACAAGAGATGTACTAATGATGTAGAGGCTAATAAATACTTCCTAGCAGTAGCTATCTGGCTTCCTTCTGCATTAGACCAGCTAGCAGAAACAAATTACAAAGAACTTGTAGTTTTTAAAAGTTCCTCACTACCTTCAAAATACATCATACCAGAAGGGAGGGAGTTCCTATTCCTTAAAGTAAAAAAAATCTCGCTCTCAAAACTATTGTGGCACCACTGTATGAGGTGAGTAGGCATGTCTACGAGAGATGTAGCAATGATTACATTTTTAATTTTGCCCAAAATGCCTCTTTAATTGCACCAAAAAACTAAATCTAATCAAAATTTGGTAGAATCCAGTATTTCATGATGGAATAATTTCCTGAGTTATCAGGATCAAAACAAATTGTTGTGATGTGAACGATTTCTATGTCTAATCAGTGTGCATGTGTTACCTGCAGCAGGTACTCAAACTGATATATGCAGAGGCCCAGCTCTGCCATGCTGGGTTTGAAGAGCTCTCTGAGCCTGTACTCCTGCATCAGCCGCACAAACACACAGAACGCCTCCTCCTCTGGCATCTACGCACATACGTGAAGGAGAGGAGAAAAAACTGTTTAAGAAGTTTATTATTCATGTTGATGTAGTCTTATTTTCTCAGACATATTTCGATTGCATGTTGGAGAAAATTACAGAAAGGGACTGAATTCACCTGCATTAGAAGCAGTCCAACGATGAAAGCACTGCCCTGACAGTATCCCACCTCACGATCCACTAGGGAGTATGCCTGTGATACACAGACATATAAACAGTTTCAACATTAAATATGAAAACACCATGCAAAAAGTGTTACAGTCATTTACTACCTATGTTCATTTGCATTTCATTCAGTTCTATTTGTGGCATAATCTATAAATGCATTGAGTTGCATTTTGGAATGTTAAAATCGATTATAATTTATTACACGAATATTCAATAAAGTATTTGATCATTTTATAAATAAAACACATAAAATGTTTGGTTTATTTTCAAACATAAAAAATCTTGGTGTACTGTTCTTATGGTCTATATTCTGAAACTGTGTAAATAGTGTAAATAAAACATTATTCAGTGAATTAAAAAAAAAAGCTGAATTAGATCAAACTGGGGAGAAATTTAAGATTTCATGATGCACTGAACCATTTCTTGAAGAACTTCCCTTGAAAACAAAAAACAAGACAACAAGTAGTGCACACTGAAATTGTATTTATAGGATTTATGCTCATTTCATGCTTTGTGTCTCTGTCTCTGTCTCTCTGTTTTTCTCACTCACCTTCATGACGTTGAAGAGGACCTCCTGGCCCAGACTGTCTTGACCCTTGAAGAAGTCGTGCTCGGGGTAGGTGCGGGCGATGTCTCTGCGTATGAGTTTCTCGCAGGGCGAGGACATCTTCAGCAGCTCGGAGTACTGGTTCTTCACCGGCATGTCAGTGGCATTGCCCAGCAGCTGCCATACAATTGCCCGGAAGTGATGTGGAATGCCCTTCCTGATCAGCTCCTGTAAGAAGGGAATGACAGGAAAACGAAGGTCAAATGTGTAAAGGTTAATGTATGTTTTCACACTCAGACATTTGGCAAACTGCTTTTGGCTTTTCACTTCAATTTGTTTTCTTCTAAAACAAGACTTTAAAAGTTGCTGTTTTTTGTGGAAATGCTGGATCTGTGGGTCCTGGCTGTTATACAGAAGTAAATGCAACCAATCATGTACGTCAAAGAAAAGTTCACCTGAAAAAAGCTAACTGGCTAGAAAGCCAGTAGGAACCAGCTGACGTGGTTTCATTTGCATTGTGCTAAATGACCTCCAATAAGGTTCCATTCACTATTGGCATCATTAGCATTTTTGGATTAAGTCTTCGTGGGTCCTGCCTTGTTACATTTAACAGCTTCAGCACAGACAAACTGATATTCTGTGCAAAACCAGTAATTTGACAAGCAATGCATCAAGTCTGCATTTTATAAAAACAGCTTGTTCTGGAAAGTTCAACCTGGTATAGGAGAAAAAAAGGCTTTTAACAAATTCCAATCCACCTATCCATACCTACCCAACAAATGCCTTCTTTCATAGCAGCTGCTGCTAGGTCTTTTGCTAGCTTTACAAAGCTGAAAAAGTCTCACTCAAAAATTGTGTCAAAATACCTACGTTTAGAGCAGTGGTCTCCAACTCCGGTCCTGGAGAGCTACCTTCCTGCAGAGTTTAGCTCAAACCTGTATCCAATAAGCTGCCTTGCCACTTACTTACCTCTAATACATCTGATCCGGCCTATTAGGGCCTTGGGAAGATGTTGATTAGCCAGCGCAGATGTGGCAAACTATGGTTGGAACTAGGCAGCTCTTTAGGATCAGGGTTGGAGACCACTGATTTAGAGTAATTTCAAACAATATTCATTGTTTTGTTGTGTAAATCCATCTTTGTTTTTTCCAATTTGCCTGTTTCAATTAGCTGCAACAATACAGAGCAGCTTTGTAGCATAGCATTTTAAACTTCTATGTAGTAACACCAAACAAAAATCACTACAACATCTGTCTACAACATCTGGCATTTTTAGCAGTGTTCTGTAAATCCCAATTTAAAGATCAATTTAAGGAAAAACTGAGTCAACAACCATCCATGGCTTAATATATCTCGTGGTTTAATCCAACATGCTTTAGTTTATCCAACCGCAGTTCCTTATCTCCTCACCTTAAGCAGTTTGTCCTTCTTGCGCCTCCACTCGTCCCATTCGTTGACAATGCGCCCCCACAGGATCCAGGTGTCCTCTTCTAGGTGAGAAAGGTTGGAGGAGGCAGAAGAGCTGGACACTAACGAGGAGCCGCTGTTTCTGCGGGAACCGCTCATGGAGCGCATGGACTTGGAATCGGCCTCTAGTAGCCTGGAGCGTGGCAGAAAATAGAGATCAGCACTGTTAGCATGGCGTCATTTATTAGCGTCAAAGGAAAATAAGTGAAAAATAAAGGTAAAAGACACAGAGAAAAAGAAACTCCTAACGACAGTGCAAAACCTGGCAGACCACCAAAACTGTCACCATCAGCTAAATAGTGCTTAAAGCTTTCATCGCAAAACTCCACTTGCTTTGGATATGAAAAAAATCCACAAGTGTTTCTGTCCAACCTTCCACTGTGAGAAGATAACTTTAAACTATGGGTCTAAAAGGATGTGTAGCTGTCAAGAAGCTACTACTGAGAAAAGGAAATAGACAAAGAAACTGCTGGTGTCCTTAGAACAATAGACTGTCCACCCTAAAGTCCAGACCTCAACATCACTGAATGTGTTTGGAATTATTTGGATTGTGAGAAGCAGAAAATACAACCAACTTCTAAGACTGAACTTTGGTGGTGTGGAAAAATACCCCTGCAGATTTCTTTAAAAACTGATATTAAGTCTTTTAAAAGTAATGGAAATTTGAATAATGGTAAAGGTTGGACTAAATAAATGTTAAAAATGTAAAATTATAATTAGTTGTTGGGGCTTCCATATAATGTTTGGTTAAATATATGTTTTCTGTTTACTGGACACTGAAAAATAAATAACTATTTGAGAGGAAATCAAATAAATGAAGTGTACTGTCAGAGTTCAGAGTATGCAGCATACTGAATTCTAATAGTAATGCATTTATGTCAGTAGTACAATAGGTGACCCAAAGCTAGAAATAACAAAACCCAAAATCCTGCACAGGGGGTTAAATCTCTGACCTCAACAGAGCTGCATGAATTAGGAAAAATATCAAAATGTGATTTCTCTGTCTAGTATAGTCAATGCGACTGAAATTGCTATTATTTTCTATAAATTAAAGGTCAAGATCTGTTTTTTGCCCAAGAGGAACATAATATACAATTTTCTGGCTACAGGCTCGAGAATGTAGTATGCCAGACAGCCAGTTTAGTTGTGGGTGTCCTGTATACATCAGGTGGGTGTTTAATTGCTTCTGCTTGGTTTAACTCAGGGGCGCCACTGGAGAGTCCTGGATCAGATCTCTTGGATGAGTTCTGTTCGACTGAGGTGGGTGCTAGACTCTGGAGCGTGATATATCACAAATCCCCAATTAAAACTTGTAAGTTATAAATACAATTGCTGCTTTTGTGATATGAAATTTACACTCTTTCAAATAAGGGTTTTGATATAAAATGATAAATCTTTCAGCCCTACCACAAAATAATTAAAACTGTTTCCTAAGGAAACTCTTCACAGTATTCCCAGAAAAGGAGCTGCTTTCTGCATCCTACACTGGAATTATCTGAAGACGTATGATGTTTTCCCCTTCCCTGTATGCAGGCTTTTGCATTGGCGTCTCTACATCTCTAGTCTGTGTACAATGCATATTTGCATAACATTTGCACCCGAGCGTGTGAAACTATCAGATAGTACGATCACAAGAGAAAGCTTATTAATCTCTGAACAACACATGGTAACAGTTGCTTTTTTCAAGTGCCGGTCAATAACCACAAACTGTTGATAGAAAGAGCAGAAAAGTGCAGTGGGCTTCTCACACATAAGGTACAGTGTGTCTCTCTCTGATGCACACACAAACAGGACTTTAAGTGTTTCGCATTCAAGTGGAAACTCATGCAAATTATCTGTACTTTCATACTTGTGTGGCTGAGCACACAGAGTTGAGTTCCTAGACATTAGTGAATCATCTGGGGGAGGACATTTTGATCATGTAATAATGTATACTGTGCTAAAGTTAGAGACCACCCTTTATGTACTAAATTGAATTAAAACAGCCTCAACCACAAGCTTTTATTTTTCCAACATCAGGAAAAAAAGACAACAAAACATATTTAAGAACCAAACGTAATATCAATTTTCAGTATTTATACTTTGACTTTACTCCAACTTCCATTCTTTTCAGGATACTCGCTTTCAGTTTGTCAAAGAAATCTGCAGGGATACTTTTCCATACCTCCAAAGCTCAGTCTTAGAAGTTGGTTGCAAGTAATCCCAAATATATTCAGTGATGTTGAGGTCTGGACAGTGGTGGCCAGTCCATTGCTCTGAGAACACTAGCAGCTTCTTTGCTTGATTTCCTTTCCTCAGCAAAAGCTTCTTGACAGCTACACATCCTTCCAGACCCACAGTGTTGAGTTTTTTTCAGAGCTGAAGCAAGAGTGAAGCTTGTTTCTACTAAGTCTGGCAAGGTTGTTGGGTGTCTCATTTTCTCTGCATCTTTTAATTATTTTTTAATTTCTTTTTTTTAACTCCAGTTTTGGAAACTCCTGTTTTTTCACATATTTTCATTTGACCTTTTCCTTGCTTATGGAAAGGGATTATGTTATATCTAATCTCCTCAAAAATATCTCCAGAAAAATAAATAATTGATTACTTACCACAAATGAATTAAATAGTTTCCAACTTTTGCAAAGTACTGCACACACATAACTATATATGCAAACAACATGTATTTCAGTATACACAGTACTGTACAAGCTTCAGGTCAGCCAAAGGTAGGTATCTAGGTTGTGAGTGTGTGGTTGCTTGTAAAAACATTATGACATTAGAATAAAATGTCTTGTTTTCAATAAAGTTAATGGGCTATTTAGAAGAAAATATCTTTGTTTCTTCTCCTCCTTCAGCCATTGCATGGATTTGTTCAATTCCACCACCAGCACACATGATTTCACATAACAGACCTCTGAGGTTGTGCATTATTTTGTAGTTGGCGACATGCCCAAAGAACACCAGGTCAACTATTTTTGTCTATGAGAAAAAAGCCCCTGTGGTAAACAAGAGAGCTCTGAAGCTAATACATTTTTTTCATATAGGCATTTCCCCTGGATATTACTGGGTCCTGTGAATTATGAGGCTGTTTAGAGGATAAAGTACAAATAAGGCTATGTACACACTACAAGCAAGCTAACACTTAAAGTGCACATTTAAGTGTCATGATTAGGTCGCTAATTTTTTGGGAAGATCAATCAACTTATGATGTCAACTTAATTCACTGAAGTATTAGTGAAGTGTTAGAAATGACCCGGGGGAAATGTACATTGGATAAAAACTTATAGGCTTTGGAAAGTATTGCTCTATCACAGGATATGATTTAGATTAATTTAGACCGTGGATGAAAAAAGCTCAGACCCAGGGCTTGTCCAGATTCTAATGGGGGACAACAAAATCACAACACATCCTCAGAGATCTATAAAGTATTGGCAAGCTGAATCAGCCATTGGACTGCACTTACAGATACTGTGCTATGAGGAAAATTGTGAAAATGTCTAAGCAAACACTGAGATACATAAATTCACAAAAAATAGAATACAAGTTTATTCTACTGATAGTGTTTTCCTAAGCAAATGAATGCTTACTGCACAGATAAACTGCTTTAAATATAATTTCATCAGGTGATATAAAGGTTAGAACACACCAACCCAACAAACACCAACGTTCTAAAGTTGGGAGATCATTTACAATGTTTGGAAAAAGATTGATAAACCAGTGATCAGTAAATTGGGACAGAGCACTGTAGAACAGTGTGAATGAGGGGAAGGCATTCAAGAACAGTGTGTATGAGGGAAGAACATTCTAGAACAATGTGAATGACAGGAAAGCGTTCTAGAGCAGTGTAAATGAGGGGAGAACATTGTAGAACAATGTGCATACGGAGAGAACATTCTCAAAAACTGCGAAAGGGCACAGCACTCCAGAGCAGCAAGAATAAGGGGAGAATATTCCAGAACAATGTGAATGGGGGGAAGAACATACCAGAACAGCATAATTGAGGGGGACACATTCTAGAAGTGTAAATGATGGGGGCGCGTTCTAGAACGTGAACGAGGGGAGAACATTCTAGAAAAGGGTGAATGAGGGGAGAACATTCTAGAATAGTTTGGACGTGGAGAGCATTCTAGAACGTGCATGGGGAGAGAACACTGTAAAGGGTGTGAATCTTTGAGCTTAAAACAAATTGATTTAATTCACGATTCACTGGTTTTGATTAAAAAAGCCTTAAATGATGAGCAATTTGATTACATACACTAAACAGTGTTACAATTCAAGCTTCTTTAAGAAACATGATAATACATTAAAAGCATCAACAATACTAGCTGATTAAAATGTCAGTCACAGTTCAATTCACAATTCATTCAATTCACAGCATGTATGAATTTTTCATCGATCTAAAAATTCAACCTTCTCTTTACGATCAGGGCAGTTGCATCAGGAGAAATTCTAAACAATACATCGAGAAACTGAATGAATTGTTACACCACTGTTGTAGAGTCTCCCAATAATCATATTTTTTTGCATGAGTGTGTGTGTGTGTGTGTGTGTTTAACACGCATACCTATTCTGTTCCTCCAGCTTAGCTAGCAGCTCCAGCTCATCTGGGCTAAGATTTTCTGAGTCAGCTGGTGAGGCTGCTGGTGCAGAGAGTGCAGCATCATGGGAACTGGAGTCTGGACTGAGCACAGGGCTTCCTACAGAGGGGGGGTCAGCCTCCAGGCCTGCAGGAGAGGAGAGGTTCTCCAGCTGCACTGAGCCCACCATCCCCCCATCTCTCTCTGGACTACTGCTGGGGCTAGACATGACCACCAAGCCCAGGGTAATGGTCCAGGTACAAGGTCAAGGTCAGATGGGGTTTCTGGCGGTGTGATGCCGTGGCTTACACGTGCTTGATCCAGAGATAGAAGCAGGCCACCTTGAGGGGAAAGGCGTATATCAAGGACGGCTTAGTCTGTAAAGGAGAGAAGAGAGTCAAATTTTAGACTGGATTAGACTTCTTTAACCCCATAAACATTTATTAAACATGGTATTTTTGGCATTAATGGTTCTTTTTTTGATACTGCTGATATTTATCATGAAAATGTTTTGTAAAAAAGTACTGTGATATTACATTATTGCCATACTACCCACCCCTAGTAACTACAATAAATTATTCAGTATCTACTATGAAACTATTATGTAAAGCAATGTAATGTAATGAGAGTGAGGAAGTAAGAAAATCCACAGGTCCTTAGGGTTTAAAGAGACATTGAAAAGACATCATAACTGTTCATAGATTAAGGGCATGTTCACACTTGGCAGCTTTGGTTCAATTAAAATAAACCCTGGTGTGATTGCTCTGTTAGCGCAGTTCATCTGAACAAGTAGAAACGCTGCCATCAAAACTCTGTTGCGCACCAAAAAGCAGACCAAGACCCCCTGAGCAGGGGGGGCAAGTGTTTTTCCTTTTATAAAAGCAATAAGCCACTCAAGGCAGTGCATTACTTTGATTTTGATGTCGTGGGAAAACTACGCTAATGCATGGCCCCTGGTGGCTTACTGCCTTATAATATCACAAGACAGATAAAACCCACAAGCTCTGTTTGGCCAGAGAACAGCATGGTTCCAAATGTTTGGTGGATATTAAATACAGGTCGACCGATTATTGGCCTGATTGATCATTGGAGCCGATATTCAGCATTTTTCTGATTACTGGAATTGGTACTTGAACTTGAACAAAAAGCCCAGTGCACCCAGTCATACAATTTCACTCACTCTAGCCAAACAAACATGACCCAAACTGCTTCTGTTGTAGTTTGAACTCATTCGGATTATGTGTACCCCAGGCACAGCTTCTTTTTTTGTTTGCCGTTTAAGCAGTGAAAAGTTTTACTGCATAATTGCTCAGATGTTTACTGTATAATTTCTTTGTCCTGGGGTTACATTTCCAGTTCTATGTGTTCGGGTTAGTGTAGGCTTTTTTACAGGTTTCTCTGTCTCGCTTGCACCCAAACACTGAAAAGGCAAACTCTGTCCCTCATTTGTGCCCTTTCAGCACTATGTCAGTGACGTATACTATATAACTGTTTTATATGAAAGTTTTTTTTATTTAGGATTTTGAGTTCTTTTTTGAGCTCCATTTTTCTTACATGCATCATTTTTTATTAAAGATGATTGAGAGCTATGTAAGGTATTTATTTTTACCTGTTTAAAAATTACTTTAGAATGTTTTTTGCAGCCTATACTGTCTAAGGCACAAAGCACTTCAGCTTTTATGATGTTCTAATACTCATTTAGTGTAAATTGTGAGTTGAATTCTTGCCAATTTTTTAAACTACATAGATCAAATTTATGGTAAATGAATGTTGGTTCCAAATACCAGTTATGGGTGTCCTTGAGTACTAACAATAGGTATTGTTTGACCAAATTTATCCCAATTGTTGTCACCGATAAACAGCTTTTACGGCTTTTTATTCATTTGACTTTTATTTACATGCAAACTACAATGAAACACAAGAATATGTCCTGCTTTGGTCCGGAACAAAGGAGCTGAACTATACGTATAAACACTAGGTATGTGCATTCTGCCTAATTTTGATTTATTTTTAAGAGTTAATGAACGGATATCTGGTTGTAAGAGCAAGGAAGGAAACATAAACAAAAAGAAAACTTTGAATTTGCTCACATTCAGGCACCCCTGTTTCATAGTAGCAAACTAAACTATAATATGTTCACTTACAAATACGACCAACACTGTAACATTTTATAGTCCCTTTAAAAAGTAAAATTAACGTTGTCCTAAATTGTTGGTCTGTATATTTTCTCTGTCTTCCCATGGAGAAATGTAACAAATACCTGAATAGTGATTCCAGCATTCGAAAGCTGGCATTTTGAACGGTTAATAGAGTACTCATGTATCCGCATGCATCCTTAGTTAACACACTCTAAAAGTGGAGGATATAACCAGAACAATAGCATCATAATACCTGACGACATCATGTTATGTGTATAGGTGGGTATAAGTATATGTATCAAAATTTTAACTGCAATTTCATTGAAATGTTCAAAATGCACAAGCAAAAGAGCAGCATTACTTTTTAAAATAGGCCCAAAAATACTGATTAATTCAATGTGTGCAATAATAATCTATTTAAGAAAGAACAGGAGGAAATACCAAACAGTTGGTACAAATTGAGTGAATAAGAGAATGACATATGGACTGACATCCAATCAGGTGGTTGTAACTTTGCAGTTTAAGCAGATACTATGTACTGTATGTTTTAGTTCACAGGTTCTACATTTTTAAAAATAATATATGTAGCTGTTTAGTGTTGTAGTAGCACAGATGATATACTCCAAGACTCATGGGTACTGTGTAATTTATCACAATAACGATACTATATTGTCATATTTCTCATCCCTATCAACTAATTTAAACTCTTTTAAATTCAACTGAAAATGAGCCTGTTAAATATGGCATCATTAACTTAACATAACAGTCACTCAAAACACACACAGACAAAAACATACACAATCAGAAACTGCTGAACTGCAACCTAAGAAACTGTGAGGTGAAGGCAAGAAAACAACTGCTACAATAATAACACCTGCTACATTCATATATTTTAATAAGGGAACCAGCGCATTCGACGTAACAAGCTCTCAGGAGAGCTTTTTCTGAGCTACTGGACCAAATTTCCTCCCTTCCTATTACAGAGGCAAACAACTGTATATCCATATTAAGACTTCATATACTGTTTCTTCCCTCAGTTACTTTCCCTCCAGTAAACACCTGCAGTCTCACTGCTACAGTGGGAGAGACAGAGAGACAATTACCCAAACCTTGAACCATGAAAACTCATTTTCTGATAAGTGAACTACTGTAGATGTGTGTGTGTGTGTGTGTGTGTGTGTGTGTGTGTGTGTGTGTTTGAGAGAGAGAGAGAGAAACTTCACTGGAATAGCACACTGGATTTGTCTGCACTCATTAAGCATGCTGATGTGACATCTGTAAATGCACCTTTATAGAAAATGACTTCACAACCCAGTGTTCTTATGTTAAACTACTTTTCATTAACAAGGTTATGTCAGATGAATGTGAAACACAAAGTTGTAAAGACCTTTATAGAAGTCTGTATCATGAATTGATAAATGTGTGATATAAAAATTGTGCAACTATGTAGTGAATAATCTTGCCTGAATGTTAATACAACTTCAAAATCAATACTGGGACAGCTGTTTAATTCATTCTTGTTCCAAACTTATCTCTTATTATACATTGTGGAAGGATGTAAATATGTTACTGTACAAGTTCCTGTACTGTTATATTTTAATAGCATACAATAACGCAGTTTGTGACCTGCAGCTCAAGTGCAGTTGGGTTATGCAGTAGGACAATGATCCGAAGCACACAAGCAAGTCCAACTCTGAACGGCTCAAAAGAAACAGAATTAAGATTTTGGAGTGGCCGAGTCAAAGTCCTGACTTGAATCTCATTGAGATGCTGTGGAAAGAAATTAAACAGGCAGTTCATGCTTGAAAACTCTCAAATACAGCAAAATTAAAACAATCCTGTAAAGAACGGTGGACCAAAACTCCTCCACAGTGATGTAAATGACTCATCGCAAGTTACTACAAATGTTTGATTGCAGTTGTTACTGCCAAGGGTGCACAATCGGTTGATAGGTTCAGGGAGCAATTACTTTTTCACATGGGTAATTTAGGTTTTGTATAAATCTTTATCTTTAATAAATGGAATGATAATTTAAAGGCTGCATTTTGTGTTTACTCAGGTTGTCTTTATCTTTCATTAAAGTTAGTTGAATGATCTGAACCATTTAAATGCGACAGACTAGCAAAACTGGAAGAAATCAGGTGAGGGGCAAATCCTTTTTAGTGCACTGTACATAATAATAATAATAATAATAATAATAATCTCTATTTATATAGCACTTTTCATGCCAGTAGCAGCTCAAAGTGCTTTACATACAGGTGACAGAGCTTAACAGTAAAACAGCAAAAATCATGAGTTATAATTCATAAAATCATATAAGACAATGACACAGACCAAACCAAAGAGATAAATACCAAGAGACGTAGAGTTTTAATTAAATGCTAAATTAAAGAGATACTTTATTGTTTCTTGTTCACTGAGCCTGACTGTCTAATAAAAGGTGAATTGAGTTCAGATTAGAAGCAGAATAACTGAAAGAGTCTCTCCATGTTTCCCATACTTTTACAGAAGGTATTTCTGTGATGTAAGCGGAGCTTTAAGATCATTTAAAGCCTTAAAAACTAGTAGCAGAACTTTTAAATCTATCATGAAAGATACAGGCAGCCAGTGCAGTTTGTTCAAAATGGGAGTGATATGATCTCTCTTTTTTGTTTGTATTAGGATGTTTGTTGCCCAGTTAAAAGAGCATTACAGTAATCAACTCTGCTTGTAATAAATGCATGAACAAGTTTCTCTGAGATAGAAAAGGCTAAACTGTAGCGATATTTCTCAAACAATAAAAAGCTACCTTAGAGACTGTGTTTACATGCAGGATAAAACAGAACTCATTCTAAGATCACACCCACATTTCGTACTTTAGGTTTGGAATATGAAGCTAAAAATCTGAGCTTTTCATAAAGCAGCTTTCTCTGAGTTTTAGTCCCAAAGATCAGTATTTCAGTTATTTCATGATTTAGTTGTAGAACATTTTCTGACATCCACTGACAAATATCTGACACACAGCTGGTAAGCCTGTCAACAGAGTCTTGATTTTCAGAAAGCATGAAAATTTATAATTGCTTGTCATCAGCATAGCTTTGAAAATTGATATTACGTTTCCTTATGACATCATGCAGAGGTAACATGTACAAAGAGAAAAGTAAAGGCTCTAAAACTGAACCTTGAGGGACTACTAATATTAATATGTTAATAAATACTTATACAAACCAGTAAGTGTGCTGAGAGCAACCTGATCGATC